TGTGCATGCATGCCCACGATCCCGAGAGGAGAATGGAGGAGAAGGGATTGCGGCGTGGCCATCCCCTCTGGAGGGTGGTTTCTCGCTTTCTATCTCTCTGTGTCTCTCTGTCTGTCTGGCGAGCGCACGCGCCCTATAGCAAAAACCTCTTCAAAATAAATAAATAAATAAAGATATACTAGGCTAACACTATTCAAAAGAAAGTGCAAGTAGTTATATTACCTTTAAGACAGACTTTAGAGCAAGAACAATTGTCAGGGATAAAGAGGGAGATTATGATAAAGAGATCAGTTTCCCAAGAACGCATAGCAACCCTTAATGTGTATGTGCCTAACAGCAGAGCATCAAAACATAGGACACCAAAACTGATAGAAATGCCAAGAGAATAGATAAATCGGATGTCCCTCTATCAGAAATGGACAGAACAGTACTGACAGGTGGTATGGTGGTAAAGGGCTGGACTCTCACATGGCCGACCTCGGTTCATGTCCCAGACCTGACAGCTTGCTTTCTCATTTTCCTTTTCTCTCTCCCTCTGTCTCTTTCTGGTCAAATTGAAAAATAATAAAAATAGGTGAAAAAATAATTCTTTAAAGAAAAAAAAAAAAAAAGGACAGAACCAGCAGGCAAGAAAATCAGTAAGAACATGGACCAGTAGGTTATATAGCAGTTAAGGTGCTGGACTGCCATAGTTCGAGTCCTGGACCTGGTGGCTAGAAGATCATGATAGATGTATGTGCGTGTGTGCCCAAAATCCCAGGAGGAGAATGAAAGAGAAAAGATTGCAGCATGGCTGTCCCACTAGGGGTGACTTATTCTCTCTCTCACTGTCTCTTTCTGACAAGCACATGTGCCCTATGGCAAAAACCTCAATAATAATAATAATAAATTTCAAAATTAAATCCGTAAGGACATGGTTGAGCTTAGCATTATCAGCCAACTGGATACAATTGGCATCTATAGAATGCATTATAACACATATTCTTCTCAAGTTCACATGGAGCATTCACTAAAATAGACCACATTCTGGTCCATAAAACAACCTAATAAATTTGAATAGTCGTTGAACGACACTTGCTCTCAGATCACAATGGAATTAAACTAAATAGTAATAACAGAAAAATCCCCCAAATATTTGGCAATTAAACCACATACTTCTGAATAACACTTAGGTCAAATAAGAGATCTCAAGAGTAATTTTTAAATTTTTGGACTAAATGAAATGAAAACACTACTCATTGTTACATGGTAGCCACAACCATCATCCTTGTTATTTTTCTACCTCACCCTCTGGCCACAGGCCTGCCTCAGTCATGCTGAGTTCCCATGATTACCATGGACCATCCGGCTCCCACTTCTTGGGTCTGGCTAATTCACTGTACCTTGTACTTCCCAGCTGTCACTGCTCTAAAAATCTTAGCATACCTCGGACTGAGCTTACAAAGCCTGAGTTATCATAGACACAGAAGAGAGTAAAGGGCCCTCCTTATCTAAAGCATTTCTACAGGCCGCAGATATGGTAATCCCACAATGGAACAGATCACCCAGACAGGGTGAGAGCGGTGTTTAAGCAGAGGCAGGAAGAGAGGCTGCCAGCAATGTTAGGATGCCTGCGAGTAAGTTGTGAACTCACTGACCCCTTATGGCCCCTTCCAATTGTTAAAATTTTTGGAATTCTAAAATTCTCCACAATTCTTAGAGCTTGCGATCTTAAGGCTAGATTATTCCCAAATTATTGTTTGTAAGAGTATTTGATGTTAGTGTTCTATGAGTCTTAGGTTTCATAAATGGTGCTAAATACAATGAAGTATATACAAAAATTACTACGAAAATTCCTCTTAGGAAGTACCTTTACTGGGGACAATACTTTGATAAGAGCTTTGAATAGAGACCCACATCAAGAGCCTGGAATAGCTAAAGCCTGCGGTTCTGAGGAGTGAAATGAGCCTGAGGGAGAGGGGAAGAGAGAACTGTGCGGGGAAGGGAAGGAGACTATGCCGCCCATCGCACCAACTGTGTGGCAGTAAGCGGTGATTCACAAGACGTCATTCCTTCACTGGAACATTCTCAAAAGTCAATTCTACTCTCAGGAATGCTTAGTCGGGGTGGATTTTTATTTTATATGAAATCCAAGAAAGAGTCAGTTTCATTACATTTGGGACAGTGTGATTCAGGACAAAGCCAGCATGCTTTGCTGAAGGCAGAGGATGCGGGGTGAATGTGAGCCCCTGGGGTATAGCAGGCTTCTCTGGAAGAAAGCAGGGCTTTTCCATGCACCTCTAGGGCACTCCATTCACGTCAAAGTCATATGAATGGCCTTCTCTGCAGGTCAGTGTACAGCCCGAACTACTGATGTGACAGCCCCGGACCTGGAACATTAGAGGAAATTGTGCCACTGTCTGAAAGGACAGAGAGCTCTCGCCCTTCCTCGACCTCACCCCAGCTAATATTCTGTTTGCTCTCAGTTCTGTGTAGGTTTGTAAGATTCCAGGGTTCTGCAAGTCTACAGGTCTCTATGAATCCAAGAATAGAATGGGCTTTATAATTCGAAGGCAACGACAACCACCACAGCCAATGCTATTGCACTTGCCACCTTCCAGGCACTGTGGGAGGCTCTCAATCCAGGGCCTAGCCCACTCTGGGTGTGATGTTTAGGAAGGGAGGTTGATCCCATGAGTGACCACTTGGCCAAATGGGCTCTAAAGAGTGAGCACTGGCATCCCTGATGGCAAAGTGGGCACACTCCCAAAGGCACCTGAGAGTGGAGTTAAGCCAGAGTTCATCCTAGCCAGGAGCAGGACAGACCTGGGTCCCAAGTTAGGAGCAAATTGTAGTCAAGATGAGAAGCTTGAGGGTTGCCTCATCAGAGGCCGGGAAATAGCCCCAGAGGCCCTCAGGTGTCCTGCTCATCTTTGCAGGTAGCCATCCAGGGAGGTGGTCAGGGACATGTGTCCTCGGTTCTCCCCCTGGGAGCCTCTTCTCCTTCAGGAACAGGCCCTGTCTGCCCCCTATCTGGCTCATAGAAATTTTCCTCAGAGCTAGACTCTGTCCTGATTTCCAGGGATGAGCTGAGGTCCAGCTGTGGACCTTCCAAATCTCTGGAGGCAGTCCCAGATACACTCAATGACTTTGAGCCTGCTCAAGCCAAAAGCCCAGTACGTGCACCCTGCCTCAGCCTTTCTTTGGCTCTGAGCCACCAAAATACCCCATTCTCGCAGTGGGGCCAGCTCTCCAGCCCTTCTGTTCACTGCCACCTCAGCTCCTGCTCTGAGAGGCACTCAGACCTGCTGAGCCAGCTTCCCGGCCGAGGCTTGGCCGAGGCTTTTACCTGGACTATGTCTGGTCCTCTTTATTCCATTCTGCCTGTCTTCTCCTTCTACAGCCCATTCCCCAACTGACTTCCATATGATCATTGTAAAATGTGAATCTGACCACAATCCTTCCCTCCCTGTAGTCCTCCAAGGCTTCCCTTAGCCTAAGGCAGAAGGTACTAGTCCCTTAGGCCAGCATTCAGGGCCCTCATGGACTAGCCCTGCTAACCTGTCTGCCTCGGCTCCCTCTCTCCCTTGAACCTCACCTGTGCTCCAGCCATGCAAACCACTGTTTCACACCTTCATGTCTGTGCACTTCCTATTCTCACTGCTTGTCTCACTCTCCTCTAATCCTCTTCAAGGATCAGCCTTCCCTTGGCTACTCCCTGATTTTATAACACCTTACACAAAACTCCACTGTAGCAACAATCACATTGAACTAGAGTTGCCTGATGGCGTTGGCTTCCCCACCCAACTAGGAACATCACGTGAAGTCTTATTTCACTATAGCTTTATCTTGTGTCTGGTACGCAGTACTCACGTTTTGAAGGAAGGAAGGAAGGAAGGAAGGAAGGAAGGAAGGAAGGAAGGAAGGAAGGAAGGGCAATGAGTGAGTGAGTGAGTGAGTGAGTGAGAACAAAGTATGAAGACACCAAGAACAGGCTCCAAGAGGGAGGTAAGGAAGCTGCCGCCAGAGCCTAACTCTGTCTCTCTGTGGGGGTCCATCCTGAACCTGAGCTCTGTGCTCTGAAATCCCCAGAATCCCTGTCATTTCCTCATGTTTGTTGTTTCTGCTGCCCCTGTGAGGAAATGATCCTTGACCCTGCCTTTGGGAAGAGTTGCTCAGGTCTTACCTAAGGCTTTGTCTACTTCTAGATTGGGGGCAGGAAGGCGGGCTACACAACTCACTCCTACCCTGGGCACCAAGACCCTCCTGGCAGGGGATATCCAGGGGAGAGAGTCTGATAGTTGAGCATCTAGGCCTGAGCCAAGATGGGAGAAGAAATTGGGTCCGTGGCAGGGGTGGGATCAACTGGGAAGCCACAGGATCTGGAAGCTGGACCACTGATCCCTGCTGCTACTTCTCCTTGAGCTCCGGTGAGGATTTCCTATCCCAGCTCCTTGTACTTGGCCACATTCCTGATGACAAAGCATTTCATGTTCAGTTGAGCCAAGGGCTTTGGCGGAGTGGGCGGGGAGGAACTATCTATTTTATTCACCAAGGTACCTTCGGGGACCCAACACCGTGCTGGCACATGGTGCAGCTCAGAAACAGTTTGTTGGATGGATGGATGGGTGGGTAGATGGGTGGGTGGATGGATAGATGGAAGAAAGGAAGGAAGGATGTCTTCCCTGAAGTCAAAAGGCTACAGGTAAGAAGTATCTCTAGGGGCTGGACCTTGGGTAAATGTGGCCACCATGACATGGGCCTCTTTGAAGAGGGGTAGAAAATTGGGGGTCAGAGACTCCTATGCCTATTTCCCACCTTCTCAAGTTCTCTGCTCAAATCTTGGAGAGCTGGGGTTGGCATCTCAGTAGAGCCTACTCCTGTGTAAAAATACTCCAACCCCTTCTCTGGTAGGTTTCCCATTTCTGGGTGGGCATTGGAATTTTCTAGGAAGCTTTGAACAATGGAGATTCCTGGGCCCCTCCTGAGACTTACTGACTTTGAATATTGCTGGGCGGAACCACAGAAGCTGTGTTTCTAGAAGTGCCCCAGATGACTCCTAATTGTGCCTTTTAGACAGGCATAGGAACTCCTACCTACTAGATCAAGTTTAGTCTCCCAGGCAAGGTATTCCCAGCTCTGTGGTCTGGCCCCAGCATTCCCGGGGCGCAGCCCATTTTGCCGCCCCCAGAACCCCCGCAACGTGCACCTTTATAAAACTGCTCCATGGTCCCAGGCATGCGCAGGCTCTCTCACAGCCAAGTCGTCACATACGCAATCTCTCTACCTTCCCCTCCTCTACCCAGCGAACTTCTACACATTCTGCAAGGCCCAGCTACAATGACCCTTCCGCGCTTCTTCCGCCCAGTCAGATCGAACTCGGTTCCCTTTCCTGAGAGTGTCCCAGCACCTCCCACAACCCTGTATCACTCCTCACTGTGCCCCTTTTTTAAGGATGCCTGTGGGAGTTTGCCCAAGATGCCTTGGGTAAGCCTCCCAAGAATCCTGTGATGTGGATGAGGACAAGGACGATGATAGCAAACCCTGCTCTAAGATTTCTACATGTGCTGCCAGGCCTTTTCGTCCTCACAACAGTCCTTTGAGGTAGATTCTGTTATTATCAGGCTCATCTTACTGAGGCCAGAGAGGTGAATTCACTTGCCCTAGGTCACACTGTTAAGTGATGAAGCCAGGGCCTAACCCAGGCAGTGTTCCAGGTACTCACTGAGCTTTGGCCCTTTTATAGAGGAGGACATTTAGGACTGGGGCAAACATTTGACCAAATTTTCATAAGTAGTAAAGCCATAATTTGCACCCAAGAGCTTCTGACCCTGGGATTCCTCCCTCCTACACGGCTCCTGTTTAAACTGACTACTAAGTAATCCCCAGCCCAAGCCCCCATTCCTGGTGTGTTCCAGGCTCCCTTCCTCTGTCTCCACAAGTCCCCTGAGACTTGCCTTTTCCACTTCCTGGCCTGGCCTCTCCATCCTGCCCCACCTCAAGTTGCCTAGGAACACCCAGCCCTTGCTGAGGTTACAGGCTCCCTGGCAGGCAGAAGTATAGTACTTGTCAACTTTCCTGGGATTCTCTTACCCAGCATTCTGGACTGAGCGGGGTGAGGCAGCGGAGAGAGCAAGGCTCCTTGCCTCCCTGGGCCTCGGCTTCTCCACTGGTACAGTGAATGGCTCTGCCCTGGCCACCTGCAAAAGTTGAGAGAAGGCTCCGATGAGATAATGGGGCACAACACTTTCAAAACACTGGAGGTCCAGCCCTGAGCACCTCACTCTTGGGCCAGGATTCCAGGTCAGCCAGGAACCCAGCCCTGCCACTGTGGCAGGTTTCCTAGCCTCCCTTGTGCTCCAATGGCCCCATCTAAAGAATCAGAATCACAACTGTATCTCTTCATAGAATCACTAAGAATCAACTGCAGTAGAGGAGGCCTCTCCACCTGCATAAAGGAGTCCCTAGCACAGTGCGAACGCTCCGTAAGTAAATGGTAGCAACTGTTACATGGAGGCCTGCCTTCCTCCATAGAATCATAGCTGTGAAATCAGGCACCTTTCAGAGATCTCCAGTGGGAACCTTGGCCCACCAAGGTGGTCCCCATTCAAGCCATCCCATCCATTGAGAATAACTCTATCTAGCCAGATGACAGCAGGTTTCAAAACTGTTGTAATCACAGGGTTTTTTTTAAGTTTACATATCTATTTCTTCCACGAGCAACAGACAGAGAGACAGCACATCCAATGAGGGCTTGATGCCAGGCCATGAGGAATGGCTCTCACTTCTCAGTCTTAAGAGTCCACTTTAATGCCTCCAGTTACAACTCTCATTAGTCATAGCCTCCAGTGTGTCAGAGGGAACAGGGACAGAGTCAAGATGGGTGTGGTGGGCATGGGGCGAGGTCTAGGCTCTGCACCCACCGGAAGGCCCACAGACACAGAACAAGGAAGCAGGAGGCTTGTCCTAATCAACCCCACAGTGAGGACACACTGACCTCATCCCTGCAGCCAGGTGTGTGGATTTAGTGCCATACATGGCTTTCAAAGCTGAGTCAGCGGGCAGAGGGACATTGTGCACTGCACTGCCCTTAGCTCCTAGTGAAACAGAGTCTCCTTAAGCATTTGATTTGGAGCAACTTACTCTTAAACTTCTCTTTTTTGAAGACAATGATGAGATACCATTTTTCACCCATTCCTTTAACAAAGATTAAAAAGACAAGCCACGCCCAGTATTGTCCAGAGGATGATGAGAAGACAGGTCCCTTTACAGCTGATAGAAGTCCAAGATGCACAACTTTTTTTCAAGGGCGATTTGGCAAAGGCTTAAAAAGGCACCTGTCATTTGACCCTGTAATCCCTCTCCTATGAGGATTTGGACCTTGTTCTTGATATAACAGAGTGCTTTATAATTGCTCCCAAATGAAAACCACCTAATTATTCACTAGTAGGGTGTTGGTTTAATCAGTGAAGGGCTATCAGTCAGCCATTAAAAAAATCCTGGTGAGAAGGGTCAGCTTAGTGGCACAATGGTAACGCACTGCTTACGTGATGTCAAATCCATACGGACGATCTTGGTTCAGTTTTTTGGTTAACATGTACATGCCAGGTGCATACCTGGGATCCTGGCTGGCCTGGAAGGCTGGGTGGAGGAGTGGGGCCACAACATGAGACCCTGTTAAGGGTGCTTGTCTTTCTCTGTTTCTCCGTCTCTTGCTCTCATTAAAGATATAATTAAATCTTTTTAAAAATCACATTGTGGGGGCCAGCAGGTGGCATAGTGGTTAAGGTGCTAAACTTCCATGTGGCCAACTGTGGCTCGATTCCCAGACCCAGCAGCTTGAAACTCATGCCAAGTGCATGTGCATGCATGGCAAAAATCCTCAGAAGACAATGGAGGAGAAGGGATTGTGGTATGGCCATCCCCCCCGGGGTGTGATTTCTTACTTTCTGTTTCTCTGTCTCTCTCTGACTCTTCCGGCAAGCATGTTTGCACTATAGCAAAAATCTCTCTCTCAAAAAAAGAAAAAAAATAAATCATGTTAGGAAGACTGTTTAACCTGCAGAGAGATGTTCATGATATTGGGTACTCAGAAAAGTCATGGCACATTTTTTTCCCTTGGAAAACAGAAAAATACATCATGACTTTTTCAAGAGAAAAAGTAAGCAATTATTTAAAGAATTTTATTATTATTATTATTATTTAGAGAAATGTTTGCTATAGGGCATGTGTGCTCACCAAAGAGAAAGAGAGAGATGAGAGAGACAGAAAGTGAGAAATCACCCCCCAGGGGGGATGGTCATGCCGCAATCTCTTCTCCTCCATTCTCCTCTCAGATTTTGTGCATGTACACACACGCACCCAGCATGATTTTTTTTTCCACCTGGCATGAGTTTTTAAGCCACCTGTCCAGGATTCAAACTGTAGTTGACTACGTGGGAGTCCAGTGACTTAACCATTATGCCATCTGCTGGTCCTGATTATTATCATTTTTTAATTTGCTATAGGGCACATGGGCTTACCAGAGAAAGAAAGACAGACAGAGAGTGAGAGAAAGAGAGAAAGAGGGAGAGAAGTGAGAAAGCAAGCTGCCAGGTCCAGGACTTGAACCACAGTTGGTCATGTGGGAGTCTAGCACCTTAACCACCACACCACTGGCTGGCCCAAAACTAAGCAATTTTTATCTAGAATGATTTGCATTGGTACAACAGGCTTGATAGGCTTTTCCTCACTGGGGCTTGTCTCCTTGAGAACCCAGCAGCTCTGTTGAAAAGAGGTCATGTGGGGAGAATGGCCTCAGCCAGGTACTCAGGTGAGTGCAACTGCATGAGTCACCCCAGCAACGTCACAGGGAGCAGCACTGCCCAGACAATCCACAAAATCATGAGAAATGGTAAGTTATTGCTGGGTAAAGCCACTGCATCTTGGGGTGACTATTGAATAGCAGTAGATGCCTCAAACACCCCATTGTTTTCACTCCTAGATTTTCAGAATCCACACTGATGGCTGGAACAGAAGCAGCAGTGAGTGAGTTCTGAGACTCCTCCCTCGTGTGCTCCTGGAAAGCAGAGCCTTGAGTGACCCCAATTTCGTGAGCCTCTACCACTGGCCAGTCATCGTGCAGCTTTCACAAATACTGCCCCAGACTAAGTGCTTCATAAAGATTTATTAATAAGTGAATAAGTGTCTTAGTTAACACACACTGTGGGGCTATGAGGTAAACATTATTGTTTTATTATTACTCAACTAATACCCATTCATCACAGAAATATCAGAAAAATGCAGATACTACAAAAGAAGAAAACAATAATCACCCCTAATTCTACTACCCATAGATAATTTCAGTTAACATTTAGCATGTATCCACAGAGATCCAAATACATGACATAAGCATATTTACTTTTTAAAATGTGATAAGCATGCTGTTTTGTAACCTGTTTTTCCCCCACTTAAAAATTAATTTACTGAGCCAGCAGGTAGTGTGGTGGTTAAGGGCACTGGACTCTCACATGGCTGACTACAGTTCTAGTTCCGGACCTGGCAGCTTGCTATCTCACTGTTCCTCCCTCTTTCTCTCTCTCTCTCTTTCACTCTGTCCTTCTCTGGTCAAATAAATAAATAAAGTTAAATTTAAAAACACAAAAAGAACAGTCATACAATTAAAAAAATGAATTTACTTTCTTTCCATGACAATGAGTGAATATCTTGACTCAAATCTTTAACGGCTGCACAGTTACCTGACATCAAGGGTCACACATTCTTCAGCCACCCCAACCCCACACAGCGAGGGGTTCTGTGGGCCGCTTGTGCTTTCTGACCCTACTGCCTGACCATAGCTAACTGGATGCAGGACAGACATCTCATCTGCTGTGATTTGGTGTACCCCAAAATGTGTGTGTTGTAATTTGACTGTAATAGGAGCAAGCAGGTGAAAACTTGATCCAATTATTGTGTTGAAGGTTGGGCCTTTGGCAGATTGATAATTGTGTGGTCAGGGTGGGGCCCCATGGGTTGATAGTTAAAAAAATGAGGCAGGCAGAGACCCATAGAGCACACAGATCGTGTTCTCTCTGCACATGCCTGCCATCCTCTCTGCTTCTGACAGCCGTGTTGTGACAATGGCCACCCCCATGCTAGCCTAATGCCTTTAGTGTTTCCAGCCGCCAGAACTGTGAGTCCAATAAACCTCTATTTCTTTATAAATTATTCATTTCTGGGACCAGCAGTTAGCGTAATGGCTTCGTCGCTGGACTCCCATGTAGTCAACAGTGTTTCACGTCCCAGACCCAGTGGCTTAAAACTCACACCAGGCACATGTGCGTGCATGCCCAAGATCCCGGGAGGAGAACGGAGGAGAAGGGATTGTGGCATGGCCATCCCCCTTGGGGGGTGATTTCTCGCTTTCTTTCTCTCTGTCTGTCTCTGTCTGTCTGGCGAGCACATGCACCCTATAGCAAAAACATCTCAAAAAAAAAAACACAAACAAATAAATTATTCATTTCTACAAGCAACACAAGAGTGGACTAAGACATCATTCAACTGCACCTATCAGCTTCTCTCAACTGGAAAACTTAGATTCAGGACAAGGAGACAGTTGAGTCAGCTTCTGAAGGTTGTTGGAATGATCCAACATAAACTCTGACTTGTGTGCTGTTTGTATTCTGCTACGGGGAGCAGAAACATTCTGTGATGAGAGAGAGAAACACAACAGAGACAAGGGATGTAGAACCTGGTGGTCGTGATGGGCCTGGTAAGTCCAGATGTTCCTCAGCATCGGGCTTCACCCCCACCCCTGGTTTATGAGACTCTTCCATATCTTTTCATAAGTTCTCCCTTTCTGACTGAGACTTCCACGTATTGATACTTGTGACCAAACAATCCTAACAATTGTTACTTTAAAGAAATAGAGAAGATAGGACTCTCAGCTGCAGGGGGTGCCTTGGGGAGCCAGTAGAGGGCACAGCCTGCAGTAGAAGAATATTGCCTCTCTAAGCAGAGGCGGTTCCAGCCACCTTACTGTACCAGGTACACAGGCTGGAAGGTAAGCATCCTCATGCCAGGCTCTGCAGCCACGATGTCCCCTGCCTTCCGGTCTCAGCAGCACACATCCGTCAGGCACTTGGCATGAACCAGGCACTGTGCTCAAGGCAAAGACGCACAAGGATGTACAAAACTCCATGTGTGACTTGGGGCAAGTCCC